TTATTAGAAGACATGACATTAACCCTCCCTCTCAAAACTTAAATACGAGACAGTACAATGGTTAGGGACTTCTGAGCAAAGTGGATAAAATGATTTCATATCTAGGAATGCATTGAAGTCAATGTTATTTGGAGCTAACTTGTGATGCAGTGAATTATCTACCCTTAAAGTTGCCTTTACCTTCATTTATAGTTGTAATATCCCTTTACTGGAGTAACAATTATACCAGCAAACATATGGAACAAAAATATTTTGTGTTGAAGAAATTCCCTTTAATGTATGCTTGTGTGTAAGGTACAGTATATTGGCAGTGGGGGCAGGCCTTGAGAATGTCAATGTCTGCTTCAAATGTAACCAGACATCTAGTTTCACAATGATGGACATTGACTCGTAGAGAGGCAGTCAACGATTCTTATCTACCTATCTTCAGTAGTCAAATGGCAAAGAAGGGGATGACTCACACATCAAACACATATGCAAATATGTGGGACTGTTATAAAAAGTTCGAGCTAGAGTAGATGATACAAGTTGGTATAGTAGTGCTAAGTATTTGAGATTGTTATCTGGGTAATTGAAATTACCTTGTTTGCATTCATATTTTTATTGTTTAGATCCAAAAGGTTCTTTAATAGGATCAGGAGGTCATCCTTAAAGGCCTTCAATATTTGGGCAATTCCAAGCGATTTTGTCCCATATATTGCTGATTGCATTACAAAGTTTGTGGTTGTATAGGTTTGCAAGATTGTTGGATTGCATCACAAAATGAAGGGAATCAGTGTTCTTGGTACTTCTGATGTCTCTTGATATCCATAATATCATTAGCATTGGTGATGTATAGGACATGAAATTGGACTTGCCTACACTGTATTCCAGCTGTTGCATGCAAACTTGTGACATGATGCCAGAAGTGCTACCATTATAAGAAATTGCAATGTCTCTATATCACCATCCATTGCAGCATGGTGCAGTTTACAATGGTCTCCTCTTCAGTTTATACTACTTCTATATATTCAATGTATACAGTTTAAGCACATAATGAGATACATGTATGTGGACAGTCGATAGTTGAATTGTGCATGCTGGAGCTGGATGCATGCAGTGCAAAGGGCATGTTTGAGAAGGATCTGTCTATTTGCTTTTGACTGGATAGGTTTGATTTGCCAAAAACAGCTCAAATAGCTTTGTAAAGATAGATTATCTGGAATAAAAGAGCAAAATCTTCATATTGAGTGTAGGTTTGAGGAATTTTATCTTAATTCCAGGTATGTGATTCTTTTAATAATTCATGGTGAAAAGAGGAACGAAAATATCCAAGATGGGTAGCGTCAAGTTTATAGTTGGTTTGGTGCAGTTACTAAACCATCTTTACAATGATGTGGTACATGTTATCAAAGTCATTTTCCTCTCCATAACTATTCTTTGTGATTGTGATCATGAAATATCAAATACTTAGTCTATGTGTACACAGAAAAATGTAATGGAATTGATGTCCTGCTGCATTGCTGCAATACACCAGTTTACGGTTGTATCAGTGTGCATGCGCAGACAGTTGACCTCGGGTCATTGGCTTTGAAACAAAGCCAATGACCCGAGGTCAGTGGTATTTATATGTAAATTAAGATTGCGCCCATGCAAATGATGATGTGCGCACACAACGCAGCGCGCAGGCAGTGATGTCATCATAATTTGCATGGGCGCAATCTTAATTTACGCATAAATACATGACCTCTAGGTCATTGAATTTGTTTAAAATGGCGCACACAACAGTAAACTGGTGTGTAGGTGAATTACAGGATTAGGGTTTAATAGGAGAGAAATGATCATTCTCTTAAAAGTCATAATTCGGACATTCATGTGAAGGAAACCTAATGTCATATGCTACCAATATAAGTGTTTTCAGAATATACATTGTTGGTCGCAAAATGAGACGTGGGATATCTCCCAAGATTTTCGTGATTATGCTATCATACTTGGTATCATGATCCGTAGGCATTTAATTGTGTGTGAGTCAGTGTCATCATAGGTCAGTGGCTCGGGATCAAACTCCCACCACAATTGTTTTATAATCATCAGAAATACAAGTTTAGTGGAGGAGGAGATTAGATTTCACGCTGTCTTAAGGACCTATCATCCCCGTGGCCTTAAAATAGACCCCACTCTGGGAATAATTCATTTCCGTATTTCCTTCAAAAGAAATTACAGATAAATTACCAAAATAGTATGAATGGCCCAGCAGGAATAGGTCCCATAATAAGTAGATCTTGTGACAATTATCATTTTGAAATCATTTCTCCTCTGTAATGCAATCCAGTTAAACTGGACTGTGATTTAGTGATAATAGTATATCAATTTTATTCAAATAATATGCTTGTTTGTTTTGTTTTTAAAGTGTCATTGCATACATTTTAGTCTTATACAGTGACTTTAACAACAAATGGGAACAGGAAGTGATTTACATTGTAGCTTTGGAAATCTACAAAATAGTTCCTACAAACTGGATTGAACAAAAACAATTAAGGCCATGAAGAATTTTCAGTGGAAATTTAAAATGTCACTTTTACAATTGTAAATCCATTCAAGTGGCATCCATGCCTGAGGAGGGTGGGGTGAAGGGGGAGGGGGGAATTGAAAATGATTATCTTTTGATGCAAAATATGACATTGTGATATGACATCATGAAAACTGCAACCAATTTGATACAAAATACTTATAGTGCCCTACCATTGATGTGTACATGTGTGTTAATGATAAGAGGATAGCATGCATTGGACTATTAACCATCTATTGAATTATTGGAGTGACAGAGAGGTCACACATCTGTAGCTGTTGTTTACATGCATGTATTACATTCATCCGCATTCTTTAGTTGTCATCAACATATTAAAAGGCAATACCACATACATCCGATATGACATACCAAAGGTGTGACTTGTTTATTCAATATTTATTCAGTTCCATTCCAGTCTATATTTGGTCTGTATGTCTTTCTCTCCAAAAAGATGTTGACCTAAAAAATATTCATGGAATTTTCATTTAAATATACAGGGTAGGTACTAGGTACAGTACATTCAATAGGAATACATTGAGACAAGTACGCCTTTCAGTGCACAAAAACAATTATTATGAACTACATATATATGATGGGATGAATAACAGTTAAACATTTGATTGTAATACGGTTGAACCTTCTAAGTAGTGACCTGTAAAGAAAGGCAACCAGTCACTTCTTGCCTTCAACAATGTTAGACCAGGATTTTCATTCCCTTGAATATTTTTCTCATTGAATCATGTATGAAAGGAACCTGCATAAAAAGACCACATTTTTCAAAAGACCACATTTTCCCCCCAGTTTCCCTTGAATGACCTTTATGTACAGTTCTGACTGTATTAAATGTACTTGTACATGTAATTACAAGATTTTAATATCATAAATTGTTTTAATTATCTTTCCTAATCAGACTGTGGTCAGATAATCTGTTATTGGTTTGTGGTTATAAATCGGCAGGATATACAGCAGTCATTCTTCTTTCTGAAGAAGTGAATTGTGAACATTCATGAACATTCATGACATTTGTTGTCCTTTCTGCACAGCTTTCCAATAATCTCCCAAGTCACGTTTTCATGTTGCCCCTGAATGAACCCACTGGATACACTCAAATTCAAGGAAACATTGCAAAGGTTGCAAAGGTTGCGAATGTTGCTTGAAATGGAGGGAATTACTCGATTGGGAACATGTCCAGACTTGTCATGATTCCGACTCTCTGAGCTCGCCTTATTGTCTGTTTTTCTACCCCTGAATGTTATTTTGTTAGGAGTACGCTGTATGTCTCTTCTCCCGTGATGGGTAAAGATTGATATTACAGGTTTACTTCATAGGAAGCATCTATGCAGCAGAACTTACACTGCGGGTGTACCTCTGCAGCCCACATCTCACCCATTACATTCATTTAGTTACTAGAAGAATGTCAACAAATTCATGACTTGTATGAATAAGCATAGTTTCATGGGTTCTTATTTTGTATTTGAGAGGATATTCTGCTTTGAGCCCCCTGTATCTTTAGATAATTGCATGTGAACTTTACTTGAAAATTCTTGGGATGGTTGACCAAGTGATTGACTATTTATGAAAATAAAATAGGTATGGAATCACGCATGGTGCGCAGAAACGCTCTTAAACGCTCTTAAACGCTCTTAAACGCTCTTAAACGCTCTTAATCTCTCTTAATCTCTCCGGTATTACATACCGGTACATGTATGCATGCTACACTGTACCTCTGACATAGATTGATTGATGTGAAGGGGAAGGACGGTGGAAAGGTATCAAGCATTGAGAATATTAATTATTCATAGTGATCTCTTCTTAAAAATAACTCTTATATTTGTATGGAATAAATGACTATACCTTAAGGCTGATAAATTTCACATTTTTCCTGCTTGTCCAGAGCTAATATTAGAACATGTTATATCCTTATGGGCATTCCAGGGCTTACTTATGAAAGTGAAATAAGGATGGATGAATGGTCTGTAGAATTACCAGGGTGATGGAAAGTTCTCATCTCACTGGTTAAATGTAGGTTACAGGTTGTACCTCTGACATACATTTATTTGAAGGGGAAGGATGGTTGAAGAGTATTATCAGCTGTGTTCAAAAAAGTTAGATTGCTTCTTTCTTTTGTATTGAATAAATGGGATTACCTCAGAGATGATCAATCTCATATTTTTCCTTCTTGTCGAGAGCTTGATCTGATGTTTTTGGAATTTGTTATATTCTTTTGGGCTTTTCATGCGTTAATTGCTTTCTGCTCATGAATAAAGATATTTCCTCTGATATTAAGGGATGAAAAATCAATGCTACAGATGATATTTCTTATTTACTTCAAAAACATATTTTTCTGTATATTTATTCTATATTGTGTGAAAAGTTGAACCTGAAACTTCTGTAAAATCAATATTTTATCTTTTATATTGAAATCTAATAAGTTCTTTTTATTTTCTTTCAGATCTCTCCAAGGCACAGCGAGCCTTCTCAGAAACTCTGATGAACTTCAACTTTGAGTGCATCGGTACTTCACAAACAGATGCTGAAATTGATATCTGTAAGTATTTAATTAATATATGTAGCATATTCAGGGTTAAAACATCACTAGATTATTCACCATTCTTTTAAATAGTGCCTGTTTGATGTTTGCCTATGAGCTAGATAATTCTGGCTTCAGCAGTGTAGCTAGGTATGGATAGGTATGTGCTCATCTACAAATTTCACTTGCTCCCTCCCCTTTGCAGAAGAGTACCGGTAAGATATACATGTCAGCCCATGTCCACTCATTACAATCTCTACATGCATGAGTGATAGCAATAAACCTCATCTATCAAAAATGTTTCTATTTTTAGACACTGACCCAAAAATCTTTGAGGCAAGTGATATTGCAGAATAGTAAGAGGGAGAGAAAGAGATAGAGAGAGGGCGCGGCAGAAAACAGGAGGGAGGAAGGAAAATGATTTGACATCAAATTATGTATATATATGTAGTCTGATTCAATTTCAATACTCTTACAACCTTTTCATTCAGTATGTGCAGTACATACATGTAGGTCATATCAAATTCTTTACACATGTTCACTCTACATGTTGATAAAGCCTTTATACTTAGTGTGATGAAGGTCTACAAACTTTCTCTATGAGTATGAGTCAGATAGTGTGCTGATGCAGAATATGCAATTCAATTTGTAGCAACTGCACATTACTTTGTGGACGTCACGAGGCAGTATTGTCGTAGGATTGGGGTGCTTCCATTACTTCCACCTTTCAATCTCTCTCTTTCTTCTCCCTCCTTTCTCTTGCTCTCTTTCCCATCACCCCTCTCTCACCCCCTCTCTCTCTCTCCCAATATTTCTATCTTCTGCCCTTTTCTTTCTTTAAATCCCCTCTCGCTCCATTGCTTTCACCCTCCTCTGTATCTGTCTGTCTCTCTCTCCATCTCTCTTTGCCTCTCTCTCTAATGATATCTCATTGACGGGGAGGTATTGTCCAGTCATCACGTACGTAGCTAGTCCAGTCATACCTGTATTGATTTTCACCCTCTTAGTTTCACCCTCTCCGTTTCATCCCCAGTCTCCATCCATACTCTCTCTGCAGGGACTATACATATAATCAACATTTCATCATAATTTATTTGATACAACATACTTTTGAAGAGGCCCAAATTTTACGAAAATATCACCTCTTCTAATCCATACATGTTTTGCTTTCAGAAAGCATAAATATAAAGGGATAGTGATTGTGAAAGGGGAAAAGAGAGGAGAGCTTTCACTTTGGTTTCTGTGAATCTACATACCAATATATATATGCACATACAGTGTATATATACCGCATCATGCACAGTTTGTATAGTACCTATGCATAGGGAGATCAACCAAAATTTGAACGGCATTTATCATACACATCATCTTACATCTCTTGGGAAGATTATTTATAGTACCCCATTACAGACAGGGCTTGATTTATTTACAAGATCAGTCATGGTTACATTTCAATTGGTATCCGCAATCTACTCTACTCCCTCTTCTGCCGACAGTGCAGGAATTTCAAAGGGACTCCAATTATCATCTGATGGACTAGTTGAGTGATTCCGATTCTCAGTGATCGTTTATGATTTCAAATTTGGCTATCACTTTGAGTTGGGAGAGTCTGGAATTTGTCATTTTTTTAGATTACAAAGTTATCCAGAAAGCAAAAGAAAAGAAATTTGGTCAGTGATGCATGTAATTGAGATGAGAGGAGAAGATGAGTTCACATTCAATCTTCAGTTCAGTTTGGCTTGCTAAATATAACTAATATACATGCATGGACATATGCACATGGGACTACATATTGTATCGCTCTACTTAACCCAATAGACACAATTTTCTGTTATTATTACAAAGCTCTTTAACATTTTGACCAAATTACTTTAGAATTAAAGATTTGTTCTTATACATCTTTTGGATAATTATACAAATATTTTAAATCCCATTCAGAAGCCCCTTGATTTTTTTAAAAGCCCATTTTATAAGTTGAATTTACAGTAGAGAGAATTTGGATAACTGATAATTTGTCGGTTATATTGACTCTTGAGGAAATCTTATATACAAAGTGATTGTGGGGGTTTGTCAATACATTCTGTTGTCCGTTCAGTCAGAGCCAGAAGGGCATTTACTCTGTGTTAAAGTCTATGAGTTAACACCCTTCTGGTTCCAAACAGAGGATATGGTATGTGGGCCGTTCCCATAGCAGTGTCATGATGTTAAATGACCCAATGAAAGACATTCCTTCACTGGCTTCACAGATGACTGGGTAGAATTTAACCATGCCCATGGATACCAAAATTGCCCTGGTTTTTTATCATCCAAAGAAATAAGATTTTCTATTATGAAAGGATTATGTTAGGAATTTAAAGCCCCTCTAAAGTGTTAGTAGCCCCCAAAATTTGATGGGAGCCCCAGAAATTTGATGGCAAAATTTCACTTAAATTGTATCATAATGTGAAAGAGGATGTTATATATTACATTTCTGCAAAGCTTTTCAAAACAATTGAAGTTGAATATTGATGAAAGAATACAAAATTTAGGTTTTCTGCCTACCGGTTCAACAGAATACCAAAATTATGTATTCTTTTATCAATATTCGTCTTCAGACACATTTTTTGGGGGGGAAATCTTTGTAGAGGTGTGTTTTAAATGACATCCTGTTTCACATTATGATACAGTTTAAGTGAAATTTTGCCATCAAATTTTTGGCGAAATTGAGGCTTCCAACACTTTAGAGGGGCTTTTTAATGGATCCACCCACACAAACATAATGTAATGGAAAGGTATTTTGGGAAAATGAAAATGAAGTTGATCAACACGTAACTGTTTCCATTGGCATTGGCGTAAGTGCATTCATTCATATCCTTGTTGAAAGTCCATATTTATCTGGCGTAACTAAGGAGACCAAATGAATGTACCCTGTACTTTTTAATATTTTTATAAATTCGTCTTGATATTATAAATTAATGAATCTGTACATTGATATGTATAACCGATTTGTTGGTTCATAAAAATGCTGACGAATTGATTCTGATAATGCTAATGGGGAAAATCACAAGTTATAAAATCTAAGCATTTTTGTCACATTTTTAGGACCAATAGATGCTGTGAATCATGATTTGAATGATAATTTCATTCATATTTACTTAGCTTATTAGAGAACAAATTACCTTCAAACAATGTTAATGTGCTTCCAGAGTACTTCAACTGACTTTATATAGAGTACATAATAGATGCAAGTAACCCTAATTCATATCATAATGAAATAAAGCTTACATGTATATTTTGAATTTCACTTTCTATTTAAAAGATAATGTCATGATGATATTACATCAAAATTCATGGGCAAATAACATTCATATACATGTAGGCCAACATCCTTGTTCAGCGTGTACTTCCTGTGGTTAGCTACATGTACATGCTTAACCCAATGAATACCAACCTGTCTCAATCTCATTGCCGCTCAGTACATGAACCATCCAGTTCCTATACACCGATTTGGTTTGGGGGTTTTATGTACCTGCCCGCCGGTGGCGGCGCTATAACTGGGGGGCTTCTCCGATCCAGCTGACAGTACAGAGAGCTCGAGAGCGGTTACTAGCTAGCGGAGCAGCGACCCTGGCCGGCCTGGGCGAGGTTCGGTATAGGTATAGCATACCCGTTGCAATGTAAGCTAGCTAGCTGCAGTCAGACGCCCCCCAGTTATGGCGTCACCTTATGAGGGCGCACTTCCACCAGAAGTCGCCCGAATCGGTGTATAGGCAACGGGTTAAGGCGCATTTAGTTCATGTACATACCGGTACTATATCTCTTTTAGATTAAATGGTATTGTCTATATTTTGAACCATTAGATATATGCATAACTGTGAACTATAATGTTCTCCCGTTGACAATAATTTGTTTGATTTAAGATTTGAGATTCAAGATTTAGTTTATTCATTCCTCACAGCCTTCACGGCTGTAAAGTTACTGAATTTACATATTGAAAAAATATATAAAACATTTTAGAATTTCATTCTCATAATGTACAGATATGCACTCATGGTACAAGAAAGGAATGTAGTGAACATATCTGAACAGCAAAATAAACAAAGCACTACATGTACATATTCAAGAATGTGTAAATCCTTGCTATATTCAGTAATAGCGTAGCGCACTGATTATAATCATATTGGAATCTATTTCTGTCAAAATAATGCTATTAAATGACCTTTCCTAGATGCTATGGTGACCTGCTCTTTGTCTCTTATCATGATTTTGTTTCATAAATATTATCCACTCCCTGAACCCATGGGCAGGATTCCTTTACATGTGCCAAGGTTCAATTTTTAGGGTCAAATTTGAGACTTGTTTTGTCATAAAAAAAATCATTTCTTCAATCATAGCATTGTCTAGTATGGAAACTAATCATACCATTGGAATGTGATTCTTGCCTACACTACTTTCATTGTTATTCTGCGAAAATTGACTTGCCTTCTGTACTTTTCATTGTGATTCTTAGATGTTAAGAAAATATTGTTGTTTTCATGTTTTGGTCCTGTGATGGAAAATAAGGTTGGTTCAAAAGAGCCCAATTTCAATGAATTAGTGTTGAAAAAGAGCAATTTCCTTGGAGTGGTTTTCATATTATTTCTATTGATTTCAGAGCTCTTTTTGAGCTTCCTATACCTAAATAACCCTAGGTCCCTGTGTCTTGTTATTATTATTTTATTCTTCATGTGATGGAGATGAAGAACTGAATGTTCAGTCATATTCCAGTAATTTGATTTGATGCCTATTCAAGGAATAATTAACTTTTTAATCAGGATACAGATAAAAGGTTGAACAAGTACAATAGTTCCTTTGTATACATGTAGGCCCCATATATAGCCCTCCATGTGTGTCGTATTCAAATTAACCTACATGTACCCCCAATGAATAGCATGCAATCTGGTTTTAGATTACTGTAGAATGGCTACCCGAAACCTTGGATAAAGGGAGTCTCGTATAATAGATCTCGGTGACTCATTCATTTCAATTGTTCTGTAGGGAATCTCATTGCTACCATCAATCACATTGTCACTCATGTTTGCACACATCTCTTGTTTGCATTCATCTATTTTTGTTATTTTAGGGGTAGGCAAGGACCAGGATGTCTAGTTAGAGCCAGAAGAGCATTAATTGGTATCTTTTAACACTGAGTTAATGCTGTTCTAACTCTCAACCAATGAATTGCCATTGATTTATCAAAAGAGAGAGAATTATTTGATTTATAATCAAATTACTCTCAACCTCTCAAGATTATACATCTTGACCTATAAGGCAGGTGACAGAATATATGTGATTTTAGGTTATTATCAGAGAAAAACATGGCTCTTCAAGTGCCTTTTATTCTACATATGACATGTAGTCCTACATGTAACAGCTTAAATATGAGCCTGATTTCATTTTTTTCCCTTTGCAAAGCATTTTTTGTTTTACCTTATCCAAATTGATCGTGTTCTGAATCTGGTGCTGACAGCCAGAAAGGTGTTTCTCATATCGTCTTATTCAGCGTTAACACCCTTCTGGCTCCAAACAAACAAAATACATATTTAGTACCATGCTTTCCTGAAATCAAGATGGAATTTTTTTTATTTCTTTATCTTCAGAAATCTTATACTTTGTATCAAGAGCATATTTTGTGACCTCATTTTATTATGGTGTTAAATAAATCCTATGCATGAAAGGCCTTCATCTATGCATTCATTTAAGAACCACAATGTTTTTGGTATCTTTGTTTGCTAATAGTGAGTGATGAATTACTCATCTTCATGATCTAAACCCTTATTTCTCTGTTCCATTTTTCTACAGCACAATCCCTGAAGGAGTTTGGTCGTCTTATTGCCTTGATTGAAGATGAGCGGGATCGAATGGTAAGAAATCAACCATGACACTTCTATTTTAGGCCACAAAACGGCGGTAATTAGACATTGATGGGTATGAATTTAACACATCCATGTGCTACATGGGGGAAACATTATTGACGGTTCATGATGAAAATGACAAAATTTGAAATTAAAAAAAAAGAGTCCCTTTGAGAAGGAAATCTCAGATTAGTTGAAACTCATGAGGGAGTGATGCAGTATGCTATGTGAAGCTGTTTCCTCTTCGCTTGAGACAACCTTCAAAGGTTGATGTAGTAAACACTGCGCCCATATTAAAGGTGACATGCACATCGTGTCAGATGCCGGCAGCCAGCTGGCAATGGTTAAGTGCGAAGGTTCTTGGTTCAAATCCAATGTTGGGGCCTATTTGGTGAATGGATGTGTAAAATTGTCGTCCCAGATGTCCCAGTCATGATTTGACCCATGGATTGTTGTAATATGGAGAGCTATTTACTGGTATTTGTAAAAACACAAAGTAAACAAAATGGATGGTGTTTCAAATAGATGATACATCATCATACATGTCATGTTTGTACCTTAATGAGCCGCTAGAGATCCATGAGGTCATTGTGCTCTACCCATCTGTTTGTTTCTCCCTCACTTACAATGGATCCCTTATGGAAAGCCATGCCAAACTATGATGTAATTACAAGACAAAACACAGCCTTGTACCTTGTAGAGTTCATTGAACCCTGCACAGGCCTTATCCTCTTGTATTGATTTCTAGTAGTTCCTGTTCATATACTGACCATAGGCCTGTTTTCATCAGCTCGAGATTGCCAAATATCCAGCTATTTGAACTATCCTGATCGCAAATTATCCAGTTAATTTGCATCTTCAATTAGTTCCAATTAGCGGGATATTTGGTCGAGATAATCATCCCAAGATATCTTGGGTTAGTTTGCCAGATAATAATAATAATAGTGAACATTAATAATGCGCCATGTCTTCACCAGCTCGAAGACTCGCACTATGCGCGAACACTGAGCAAAATATCTCAAGTTAATTTATCGAGCTCGAGTTTCAAGTTTCGAGGTCAAGTCTCGAGCTGATTAAGACGTGATTTGTAACTTCAGGATTATTTCCCAAATCAGAAATACACTGTAGCGGGCTATTTGGCAATCTCGAGCTGATGAAGACAGGCCTCATGTAGATCCAGTTCTGACGAAGGTCGTGTTCGTTGATCTTTGCAATCACATTTTAAGCTGCATCATATTCAGGGTAGTTCTGTGAAATATATTCTGTATGATTTTTAAAGGTATTTTCTTGTACATTTTATAAAAGAATGACGAAAAATAACCCCTTTGTATGACTGTTAAATAACATTTCATTATCACTAGATGACAACAATTTTCCACCACTTACATGTATACTAATTTCACGTCAGTATGCTAAAAATGGTGTCCCTAATATTGTCCTGCTCGATATACTTTGAATCGCCCTTTTGCTGCTGAAATTCAACAAATTTTTCATCAGTGAAATTTATAAATGTAATTCAACATAATTTATGGAACAACCAATTTTGGTAATATATACAGATCATAGATCTTAAAACAAACAAAGAAACAGTAATCAACAAACACCAATGTCCTTTTTGATTGTTTCAAATATCATATGTTCATGTATCTTTTATTCTGTTTTGTGCGTATTTTCTAGCTGGAACATGCCAAAGATCAGCTCATTGTACCACTGGAAGCCTTTAGGAAAGAGCAAGTTGGTCCTGCTAAGGTAAAGATTGTTGTTGTATATTATAAGTGACTTTTTTTTAAATATTAAAGTTTCGCAGATTAAAGCAAAGATATGACAGTGTAAGTCTTTGAAAGGGCTAGTTTAATGACCATCAAAACAAGAAGGAATTTTTATAGCAAAATTAAATAAATGGAGGGGGAGAGATCAACAATGGGAGAAAATTAAGGAGGTTATAATACTGGTAGAACAGAATTAGGGGGGAATAAATGAAAATTGTAAATTAAACTTATTAAATGCAATAAAACTTAGTAAATTTTCTTAGTAATTTCTTTGGTATGATATGTTTTATATTCATCGTGTGTACTCACCTGTAGGAAAAGTGTAACATCACCATGCACTACCTATTCATAATTGTGTCTTTCCCCCCTCTGTGTACTTCAGGAAGGAAAGAAGGACTTTGAAAGACAAACTGAGAAGTTCTGCAAGTCTCTTGACTCGTACGTCAGTCTCTCCACAAGAAAAAAGGAAGCTTCTCTACAAGAGGTAAGAAGGTGTTTCCTTCCTAAACTTTAGCCGATGTTGAGAAATGCTTGGTATCGTTTTGATGCTTGATTCTCAAACTCTAGCCGATATGCCTTGCCAAGGTCAGAAAAGTGTTTGGTATTATTTGTCAGTTGTCGATGTTGATAAAGATATTATTATGAAGCCCAACCTTTCCAAATTAGAAGACGTTGCTGTACAGTATTTTTTGACATTTTGAAGCACCATCTTCCCAAAATCTCAACATTTTTAGATTAGCTTACTTATACATTTTGATGTCCAGTGTGTAGTTGGGTATGACACCTTTGCAAATGGGAAAGATTTCATTTTCGATTTCTTTGATCACCCATTAAGAATGCATGACCAGGGTTAGCAATGTACTGTTTAATCCATAGGACTTTCTTCTGCATAAAACTGAAATAGAGATGGTGCATATATTGTTTTTTTTAATTTTGTCAGCATTATGGTTGTCAATAAAGTATTCCTTGGCCAATATTGGTATCAAAACAGGTATTAAGGTCATTCAAAATTCATTCAAACCATTTTGAATGTAGACTAAGAGAATTGAATAGTGGTATCAATTCTTTGGTCAGAAACTGCTATCTTTGGGAAAGGGCCAGAAGAATTGCTCATTGCTTTAAGTCCAGTCTACTGAAACTGAGTGGAAAGTGGAATAATATCCCTCGCTAACTAAGTAGTAATGAACACATCAAAAGTGTCTTCACTTGAACTTGAAGCAACTTCTACCAGGTCAGCTCACTCAATTACATGTAGGTTGCTCTGGTGAGCTGCATTTACTCCCTATTTCAATGGATTTGACGTTGTAAAGAAGAGAATCTTGGTCATTTGGTTTAAAAAAGGTCTTTGAAATGTCACCCTGTCTATATTAATCTAAATTCTTTTTTATACTATTTTGAGGAGCAAGGTCATGTATATTTAAAGAAAGAAACCATCTCCTAGTGGACATTCTGTATAAATACAGTGTGTATGTTTTTCAAAGAATACAATTAATATCCCCAGGATCATAGGGAATATCCAGGAAAGGGGTCGGAAACAAGTTTCCACCCTGCCCCACCGGGGTCCATGACTGCTCCAGGTCCATTAACAAGTTATGAAGGCTGCACATGTGTGGAGGAAATTGGCCCAGATATTCCGCCATTATCCACACTTTGCCAAATTGGTATGACTTCAGATGGCCTAATCAATCTGTGAGGGAGGGAGGGAGAGAGAGAGAGTGAGAGAGAGGGAGAGCGAGAGAGAGCAATGGTTTGCGGTGTGTAATGGCAATAGGCAATGATTGTGATGGCTAAATTGCAATATGTCTACAAGATGTTCTATTGTGATATCCTGCATCTATGTTGAAATTGTGTCTTGATAGGGATAGGGTTTTTCATCTGAATATTAGACGTTTGTGTTTTTTCATTTAAAGGCATCGTTTAACAATGTTAAATCTGAGATGCACGGCCCTACATGTTACAGTGTCTGTGATATGGTGTAATATTTAAGCCCTAAAAAAAAAGGCGCTTTAAAATAATCAAGAAGTCCTCAAAAAAGTAAAAATCTTTGAGTGACCGGTTTTACCATACCCATTTTCCCCAATAGACTGTAGTGGTATAAAAACCGTTAGGCAAACGCAAAATTTGGTTTCGATATCCAATCATAAATATCTTGATAATCAGACAGGTGATCGGCTTGTAAAAGTCATGGGGTTCCTGACTGACCTAAAGGTTTATAATTATCATTGCAGCATGAACTAAATCCAGGGTTTTTGTTCAGAATCTGAGACAAAGTTACCGGATCCCTTTAAAATTCTTAATGGTTCTTTTGATCTATTCAGAGACAGAAGGACATTGGTTCTGTGTGAAATGTCCAAGTAAACATCCACTGTGTTCCAAATAGACATTATTATCATCAATTAGATAATGATTTACATTTCTAAATGGTTATGTGTCTCCTCATTCTTGGTTCCTATTTTGAAATTATCTTGCCCAACATGTGTCTATAAAAGAGAGAGAGACCAGTAATTGTGTTCTTAATATCCATCACTCACAGTGAGTTTGGGTTAATGTCCATAGACACCTATGCAACCACCTGCCAGCACCGTGCCTAGCTTGCACTTTCTGGTCTATTCCCCTTGCCATTGACTGTGTCACAGATTTCTTTAGGTGCAGTAAACAACCTATAAATGTTTAAATGCTGTAAGAACTTGGACGTAACATTTTCACTGCCACTGTGTCAAATCAGTTTCATCAAGTTTCAATGTTCTCATTGGATCAAAAGATAGAGATATGGTTTATGCAAAGAACAGCTATAAATATAGTAGAAAGGGTGAACATCATAGTATTTGGTTTAATTGTATACAATTTGCACCTAAATTTGTCTTAGGGGATTGTACAAGAAGTTACTGGGCTACGTGTTAGGATATTCTTATTACAATAACTTCCTCATATATGATTCCTTTGAATTATAATCTATTAAACCTTTCATCTTAGAAAATATAATAATAAAACAATATATATATATGATCTGAAAGCAGTATAATGGGCATGATTGCAAAGAAAGATAACAGAAAGATTAGCTGATGAACTCAACAATTGAATTAAAGAGAAAAAAATATCAGGACATACATGTACAGATTTATATTCTAAAAATTTGTGGCCAAGTCAAGTGATTGTTTATGAATAATTAGCATTGATTATCTGACCTTAGAATGATGGCAATCATTCAAGGTCAATACTTGAGAACCTGTTTCAGACTTGTTTCAGACTAGCCAGATAAAGGACAAACTACATGCCCACGTATATGATCTTGCGTTATCATGCAGACGATCCATATAAGATATATGAAGGAAAAAAATTGCTCCATCATGTTGGGAGGAAATAAAATCACCCACACCCTATCGCCCTTCAATCTAAATCACTATCTTGGGCTAAATCCCATAATTTATAGAAAGTAGAAGAACCTGGGTTTGAGATTTCTTAGACCATAGTCCTACTTTCCTACTTGAACTTTGAGGAAAGTATGTAGGCCTAAATTCTTATACTCTACTTCAAACTGCATGAAAGAAGAAAATGGATATTTTAAGATTGGCGCTGATGGGGAAAAAATAGGAGGAGAATAAGATGATATTCAATTTAAAAATAATGCACATTATAAAAATTTGAAGACAACACTGGTATTGAGAAAATATCCCTTATACATTTAATTGATAGATATACATGTACATGTAGTTTTCTACAGTCAACTAGAGGGAATTTTGGAGGGAAATTAAATTTTGATATGAGCGTATTCTTTATTTTCACATCTATAGATATGGTCATTTTAAAAGGTGGTCACTGATCTTATATATTAGTTAAAATATCTTTATTTTGTTACTGGTTATATGGAAGCCCCAGTTTATTATTTGTAAATTATAACTGGAAGTCTATCAATTCTGTGGATCTTGATGGGCTTGTAATTTTGTATGTATTCATTAAATCTACTTTTGTAAACTAGTCTTGGAATTAACCAGTCTAATTTCATATCTTGTAATTTTCAAGGAGATTTCTAAATGAGTAAATTTGAAGTGTGGGAAGGTGTCAAGGATCTTTTTAGTCATTTTTTAAAGCAATATCCCGTCTAGCTGTGATAGTAGTCAGATTTCTGAATGTCATCCTATAAGGATTACACTGTGCTACTGCAGATTCATATCATTAATACTAGCTTCGTTTACACTTGAAACAATTTAGAAATTATGTTTGTTTTTAAGACAGTAATCATTGGATTCAGTGTTTGCCCGCACACAATGTGTGCACAATCTCCACTCCCTGGGAGCATTCCAGCCAGGCATTACATGACGCCCAAAAACTGTTTGACCAACAATAAGTGATATAATTTATTTTGCTTCATATTGTAACTATTAAACAAATAACACAGTAAATATGAATAAAGCAGTTTTAAAAGGAATTCAAAATTATGAATAATGTTCTGTCCCGAGACCCTCTCGACAAAGTACTGCATTCATGATTTTTAAAGGAATGTTGTCTTAATAAAGCCAGATTGTAGGTTAAATGTATTAGTTTTTGCTATTTCAGACAAGCAATTTGACAAGCTTTTGTCATGTTTAGTTGCCGCTTTTGTAGATACATGCTCAAAAATTGCTTGTGAATTGGTAGGCACACTTTGAACTTTAACTAAAGTTGATATAGAGAATTTTTTTTTGAGAATCTGAAATAAAGTTTTAAAAGCTTTATTATTTTCTTAGAAAAATGTAAACGGGACTGGAACACTGAAAACATGTGATTTAGCTGGCCTATAATCTCATTTTAAATCTTCAAGTCTTTTCTTGGATATCATTACAGAAGTACATCCAGTGATAATGTTTGCTGATAACTCTGATATGAGAGAAGGCGCAGTAATTGCTTCCCACATGACTTGTGTAGGATGTTGAGTATCAGCGTTGAGAGCCAGAAGGGCATTAACTTACTGCTAATGTGTATGAATTAATGTCCTTCTGACACTATAATAATATAGTTTCTTACATTTTGAATTGATGAATTAATCTATCACTCTAATTATCAATAGATAATATCTCTGGATGCTGTTTCATAAAACTTGTCATCAATAATATTCATTGATGAAGGCTTCTGAAATCACTGCATTTTATTGGCTGTGAGCAAATTAATTAAAGAAGGGTGACACATGTTTAATATTGATGATAAGGTTTGTGATCAGGACCTTGAATGTATTTAATATTTTAAAACTTATGTGTCAAAGGACCTTTTTATCACAACATTGTGAACATTCATCATACAGTCAAACCTGTCTATTAAGGTCGCCAAAAAGAAACAAAATAAGTGGCCACTGTGGACAGGTTCATTGTAGCCTCTCTAGACAAGTTCTGCCACACATATTTATTTCTAAAGAGGGACAAAATACATTGTCACCTTAAACAGATGCCCTTTATAGAAAAATGACCACTAAGACAGGTTGGACAATCCCACTGTTTTGCAGTATATCAATCA